CATGCATGCATGCAAGCAGGAACGAAAACAACGCATGCAGGCACTCAGGCATAGCTTTCTGCAGGCATTCTGCATTCGTGTTACACAGAATGATAGAGACGCAACACAAACGGTGCATCGGTGGCGCAAGGTAGGCTTTGCAAGAAGGATGTGTAGGCTGCTTTCGACTGCCAGACTTGTGACCTACTTGGCTGGGCCCGACAAGGTTGTGTCCGTCGCAAGTGGCAGCCTGCTTGAAGGGACAAGTGGTCAAAGTACCGGAAAGGACTGGAATTCGATCTAAGCACAAAGCCAAGCAGCTGTGCGGTGCGGCGAAGATTGCATCCCAGGCACTCTCAGTAAGGGGCGTCTGGGCCTGCCAGCTGGCAGACCGCACTCTCTCTTTTGAGCTCTCTCTCTCTCTCTCACTCTCCTTCTTTCCAGCAAGTCTAACGTCTGGAACACAAGGTGTGGTGCAGCCCTAGGATGAGCAATCATGTCGCGACCCCGGTGTTCGCCAGAGCAACTCCTCAGAAGATCCAACCTGAAGATCATCAATGCTACAAAATGTTGAAGAATACTCGAAGCCCGCACCACCTCCGAAGAATACATCACATTTTTGAACCCGTACGGTAGCATGATGCACAATGTTATGTAACGATGGAATAGACATACACACATACATATATCTATATAGAGAGAGAGANNTATATACATAATATATATCTATATATGTACAAGTGTGTGAAAAGCATTCGATGAGGACAGCCCCGGAAACATTTCTTCGAGTGCATTACTTGCTTTAAGTGACTTTATAGCATTTCTGATCTAGGCTAGATAGGGGACTGCACGTAGGTTACAAGTCATGATGCCTAGAGCCACCTTATCGATTTCCCCTGCTACAAAGTCTCGAGATCCTTCAAGCAATACACAAAGAGGGTGCCAAGTGCCTGCAACTGCCGGCAAGCTTGGCAAGAGACGACGGATTGCAAGGTCTCTCTTACCAAACCTTGCCAGAACAAACAAGGCAACTATAGGGTGTTGTAGTGGTTTTAGACGGGGTTTCTGATAGGGGCCATACGTAGGCGGAAGGAGCTCAGGGCATGTGGCTCTGGAGACATGTTGCGCTTCTGCAGGATCTGGGGTATCTTGTGGCTGTAAGATGTTGGGGCACATTTTTAACGTGTTTGGAGTGGTTTGGTGGCTCCAATCGCAGGGGTCAATGCAAAGTAGCCTTGCGCAAAAAGAATCCATTTACTGTCCCTCTTGCCTGTCGGAGCCAAAAAGAAAACTACGAGCACCGCCTCGCAGGGGCCCTTAGCATTCTGAAGCAATCTGAAATCTTCTTACCCCAACTAAACCCTGCCTTTTTACACCTGGGCTACGCATATGCCAGGAACCGAGGTGCTGACGCTGCAGTGGGTTCGATCAACTGGTCATCCGAAGCTATGACCAAAGCAGCTACAACTCCACGATGCTTCAGGATTCGGGAAATAAGATCGGGAACATCATGTAGAATCACGCCAAACTGCCAAACCAGGTTTGAGGTTGTTGGCTGATGTTGCACAAGCTTTCGGCTCATTGAAAAGATCGTGGATTCTTGAGTACCTCATCAGCGGCCGCCCAGCGCTCTCCAAAGAAGCTGCCGCACTGAAACCCTAAAACCCTTAAGCAAAACCCTAAACCC